GTCTGCTGACCCCTAGAGTAGACAATCAGAACAGATTAGACCAAATATCTTCATGAAGTTTCTCCTAAGCAAGGGCTGGACTCAGTTATTCCATGAATTATGGAACTCTAGGCAATATCAGCTGGCAAGGAGGCAACAATGGAAGAACTACTGACTTGTGTCCCACCCGGGGAGTCTTGACAGTTGTAACAGTCCCTTCCCCCTGCCATCTTAGAAGCATCATACACACTTCCAGTACTATAGTTCTTGTGTGAAGATCACCATTCTCCTGAAGACACATGACTTGCTCATTAGGGGTAGCCATAAGAGATCTTCAAGTATTTTAATTAAACACCAGCAGCAAATAACATAGTAGTCCAATGAGATCTCCCTAAAATGAGTTACCATTATTTATTTCAGGGAGCTACATGGAGCAATATCTGTGAATCCTGTGAGCAGTTTTCCCTACAATAGGAGTGGTCCAACTATAAGTTTTTCCCTGAATTTTGCTAAAGTGATCAATGGCACCACTTCAGCTTTGGAATTCATTCAGATCAGCCTCAACTCCCTGGCCAGGATATTTATAGATGACGGGCTTTCTCCTTGTGGACAAAGGTGGAATCTCTGTAACCACAAAAAGGAACCAACATTAATCAAGGCTCATGGTGCTTGCTATGCCACGAATTATAAAGTCCTCTCTCTCTAATCTAGGAACATAGTTATCTGCCAGGATCCATGAAACTTATGCAGACTAACTTGTTAGCTTGCAAATGGAGTTAACTTTCAGACATTTCACAATTCTTGACAATATTGAAACACAATCCCTAGATGTAAGAGCTCCTGTGACTATAGTTTTTCAAATAGGGATATTGCACTCAAACTCAATTTGGTCTTTTGTTTGCAAACAAAAAAGGGAGAACACTATTGACCTAACCAGCTGAACAAATCCCATGAACTGTAAGACTTTACTTTGAAAATCCAGGTGACTTTCTCCTTAACTTTGTGCATAAATCTTTCCATTTGGCCAGACACATTAATCTTGGTACAAAAGGAGAGTTTTTTTGTTTTGTTTTGTTTTTTGTGGTTACAGAGACTCCACTATTTTGCCCACAAGGACGAAGCAGCTACTTATGACAGGGATAGGTCAGTCTATTTAGAACCAATGATTGTCCTGTTTACATGATTCCAATGATAACTAAACCTTCCTAATTGACATATAGTATTTTTAAAATTTTCATATGTTGAAATCAGCAGGTTTGAAGTCATGAAAAATCATCTCTTTTTAATGAAGGTGATTCTGTACATTTAATTTGTAAACTTAATTTTTATTTTACAACTGTGCCCAGAAATTAATCATATTCTTATTTGTATAGTGTCAAAGTAATGTAGCAGTGGAGACCAGGGACTATGGAAGAGACCATCAGTGTATGAATTGGGGCTTTTTCATGTACTTGCAAATTACCTGAACTTTCAGTATCTCAGTTTTTTCATTTGTAAAAATATTAAAAACAATAATAACTACCTCAGAGGGCTATTGTTGAGGAATAAATGAGATAATACATGGAAAGCACTTAGAACAGAGCCTGGATGTAGTAAATGTTCTCCATAAGATTAGCCCTTGTTATACTCTTGAGAGACAGTTTATTGCAACTACTTTATATTCATTACATGTAGTTAAGAGCATAGGCTTTGTCGGACTTTAAAGCTCTTAGCTATGTTTTTTGTGAACAAATCACTCATCAGTTGTTTCTGTTTTCCTATTTGTAAAATTGTGTCAATAATATTACCTACTTCATGGGGCTGTTGGAAAGAGTAAATGATATAAAATATTTATTCTAGTGCCTGGCAAATAAAAATGCTCAGAGATATTTTAATTGCTGCAAGACTTGATCACATTTTTTCCCTTTGAAGTGGCTGTTTCTCACATATAAAATTCTGCCTAACTTTCAAAATAAAGATCAATGTCCACCCATAAAGCCTTTTTAAATCACTGCTGCCAAAATTAAACATCTTTTTGTTACACAGCACTAGCATTCAGTTTGTATCATTCATAATACTCCACACATTATTTCCTCTATTAAGAGAGATATATAAATATTTTACCCTCTTTGTTAATTGTAAGCTTCTTAAAGGCTAGGCCTGCGTTTTTAAATACTTTTTATCTGATATTTTGCATTGCACCAAGCAAGTGAGCAAAGAATATTTCCTGAAGGACACATTTTTAAAAGCTCAATACTTCCTAACCTCTTTTCAAACCTTTTAAACAATGTCTTGAATCAATCCATTCAAATAAAGTTTCCACATTTTTCTCTTTTCATCCATTGACTTAAAATCTAAGATGTGAATTTTCTTTGTTAAGAAACTTAAAGTAGACTTTTATATTGTGCCCTTAATTATAATCAACTGCTTTTGAATAAAGAGTTTCTCTAATTAACTTTATATAGAAGACTATTATCTATCAAGGCTTCTATATCAAGTCTTCTTTTCAAGTCTTAAGAAAAGCATATTTTTCTAAGTAAAATACATCCTCAATAACATTTAGCCCCAGCAAACTGCCTGATTCCATCTATAGAAGATGCTTAATCCATTCATTAATGAAAGCAATTTCTGATAACCAAGATAAAAGGCAAGTACAATTCCAATGTTTGAACTTAAAATGATGACACTGATGAAATGGATATGTAAATACATATAACCCTCTTCAGGGTACAAGCCTGATGTTTATTTAGATAGCCTGATGTTTATTTTGGATTCTAGCCCAATTCTTTATTTGAAAGGTCTATTGTAAATATTAAAGGGAAAATTTCTTTCATTAAACAAGGGTATTACTGGAAATAATTTTAATGATAGAAGCAGGGTAATTTTTTTTATGAATTATTAAATTAAAGAAGTCTAAAAGCAAGTTTATCACCAGAGTAAAAGACAATTCCTAGAACAAATCCTGTATCTAACAGAGGACCCAGTCATACACTGTATGATGATTCCATCTTATTTACTTAAAGAAAAGCTGGGGAAAATGGGTGAGAAATTTCAAATGTATATAAATGATTCTGTGACTATGTACTTAATGTACATTTTCGAAAATATGTTTACCTCATCAATAATAAAAATGTCTTCTCTCATACAAATTCCCGGGCTGTAATCCACGCAGGACCAGGAAATAAGCTAACAAGGGATTTTCTTCCCTCATGGGCATTTATAGTAAACAGAGTAATATTCTCATTCATTGTTGTCAAAATGCCTTGATCAAAAATCACTTTTGTGTTCTTTATTTTACAGGACTATTTTGATAGCAGTAACTAAAAAGTGTTTCCTTCCCTTAAAGAATGACTTCAGGTTTTAAAATTCATTATTCCAACTTAGGTTTGATCAGAGGCCAAAGAGTACTGTTTAAATTATAAAGGCCACAAATAATCAGACTGGAAGAAAATCGACAGAGGCATATCCAGCATGTTGATTATACAGATAAAGAGTTTACTGTGTTTACTAAATAATTCTATCAGTCATTTTCAGACTTGGGTTCAGTCCTTACTTTTACTGATGAGCCAATTATTTTTTATATCCTTTTTATTTACTTTATTCATTTCATTCTCTTGTCTTTGTTCTGTGACCCCTAAATAATATGAATTAAGCAGCAAAAATAAAGATTTCCATCATAGAGACAAAAGAGTGTGTTTCCAGAGTGCCACAGACTTTGGCTGAAGCCTACCCATCAAGTTTAATGGGACTCTGGCTGCCAAAACCCCACACAACCTTTGGATATTTAGGGCTAAATGTAACTGCCACTTGCTCTCCCTCCCTGTTGCTTCCCAGATTTCTGCCAACTTGTTTGTTCTCAGTTCTACTAATGGCACTTTCTGGCATAATCTTGTTTAACTGTTCTCCAGCATTGTTCATAAGGCTGGGTAGAATATGACAAGAAAATAGTTTTTAAAACAATGCTTATTTACTTATTTGCTAAGAAAAAGAAATTGCACTACAGAGGGTGAAATATTACTCTCTGATTTTCTTTTCATAAAAATTTAAAAACTGGATCCATCCATAGTGAACAGAAAGTTTTTCCAAGACTACTTCTCAATACATAACCTCTAAAGAAACACATCTTTCAAAATACACATTCTTTATAGAAGTCTGTTCACTTCCCCTCATTTGGTTATATCCATTTCTATTTTATTTCTCTCCCTAGTGATAAAAATAAGAGGAAAATTGCATTTGAAGATTTCTGGGATCACTCAGTTAGAAAACAGGTAGATAAATTAAAAATATATATGGAGAGATTTTAACAAAATTAATACTATTTTTACTTGCTTTTCTTAATGTAACATAAGTAAGTATAGGAGAGACAATGGGAGAGACATAGGGAGACAATGCATTTTCCCCTCAAATTAAAGTAAATTTAGAGATAATACCTTGTGTTTTACCTTGGAAGATTACATAGTTTTTATACTACCCAGTATTTTTATACTACCCAGTATTTTATATTGTAGGCAATATGCTGTGCTAACCATAAAGGAATATAATTTCAGTGATTCCAAAGAGTTAAGTACTGAGTTCATATTAAAGTCTACATAATAGTCTAAGCTAGATCTATCAGATTAATTTTGAACCAATAAATAAGAAGAGGTAATTTTTTTTCAGTGTTCCAGGATCTATCCAAAATGGGATTTTGTTATTATAGAAAGTTACACCTTTTTTTGAGAGGGAAGAAAGACAGTGTTGTCTTTATGACTTCCCATTAATTGAAAAGTCAAGATATACTGGAGTCAGATTCCCCTTAGAAACATTTGTGAACTGAACATTAAGTCTAGGTATTTATTTTAAAATTCGACTTCATACCATAGGATTACACTTAATGACATTAACAAAATTTTTGTTTGTGGCTGCTAGGTTTCTAAGAAGAATATGACATGATAAGAAAACTCCAAATAGCAATGAGTAAGCTCCTTGAGAATTTTCAAGATTTAATGACGCCGCTTCTCATGCAAATATCAGCTCACAAAACTTACACAAATGACACTTACCATACTCACTATCATAGAATATAATGAATTTCTGCCAGGCATACTCTGTGACCACTCTTAGGATAACATCGTTCAAGTAGACAGGTGGTCGAACTGAGAGAGTGTAGTCATCATTCCTGTTGCTCCGGGTGAGTCCACAGCCACTTCTTGGGGTCCCAGCTGTTGAACGCTGAATGAAGAGGTGGGGGATGTGCATGGCATCTGCCAGAGACTGGAGGGACCCTGCTGACGTGCAGCCAATGGAGCTGACCAGGGCCAAGATGCCTTGATTCATAAGTTCACAGGCTGCAAGAAAGCACAGTAATATTCAATATGTCAGTGGGGTTCATAATATTTTCTCTTTTTGAGAAGCAGGCTTACAGAGTTATCATATAACTATGCATTTTTTTTTTTTTTAGAAAGGAACATTCTATCATATAGAGATCCTCAAATTACAAAGTGCTATTGAGATTCATTTCAAGAATTCCGCCCTTATTAGAATGTGACCTTACACAAATCACTTAGCTTCTCTTGGCTCAGTTTCATCATCTGAAAAGGGGATAATATAACATGAATCTTACAGGATTATTGAAAGAATTAGGGAAAATGTAGTGTCTGTTATTTGCCTCTCACATGATATTCAATTAATGGTAGTTGAACTTTTATAATTATCAATTTATAATTCAGATAAAAGATAATTCCTTACTGAGTATACAAGGTTTCAAAAAGTAGATGATATTTAAACTGGTGGATGGATTGAGGGAGAGGAATGTTTGGAGGAAGGCACTTCTGGCCACAGAAATCAGAGCCATTTTGGCATCTAAACTTTGTCTCTCTCAATAAACTGGAGAAATGATAATGCTTTTGTCTTTTTCCTTGACAGTTATAAAATTCATGGTCAAATCAAATCAAATCAAATCCTAAATTTCAACAACTATCTCAGTCTAGTTCCTAGATAAATAATTTCTAATTTCTACTCTATGGTTTATAATCTTTGTTTTAATGTCATTTTAACTATTCTTTGTATGTACTTATATCAAAATGTACTTAAAACTAGATCAAATATAAATTAGAAGTACATATACAGACATAGAAGATTTGGTAAAAAGAATTAAGAAGTTATGTCTCATAATGCCAATATTTGAATGTAAAAGATTAGAAATAAATTCAAAAGTAAAATTCAGAAAGAACCAAAGCAAAAATTATTTCCATATTTCTAGTTGTTATAATTGGTTCAGCCTTTATTCCAGATTTTATTTTCAAGATTCAGGCTAATAGTTTTATGTAATTTTTGTAAAGCTTAAAGGAAAATTTAGATGGTAAGCACTTCTATGTAATTAATTGGACAGCTAATAAAGGTTGATTTAAAGTGTCAGCTTAGTTAAGCTTAGACATGGAATAAAAAAAAAAAAAGTGTCAGCTTAGAAGTTTAATGCTATACCAATGACAAACATATAAACATCAAATATATTTATTATTATTAATGTTAAGGCAACCAATACATAGAAAATAAATGAATAATTATTATGGACATATTTTTCAAGCATTGTCTCATGAGAGAGGTTCTATTGATTCCAAATAAATATGAAAGATAGTATCAGGGATGAATGCTTCTTAGACCATAACAGATTGAGTTTGAAGTTTTAGTAAGAATCACACATTTTACTCATGTCCATAAATTCAACTTTTATAGAAAGCAATATAAATATATATTTATAATTTCAGTAAATTTATGAAAAAAGAAACTTTGTTTCATCATTGTGGTAAATAAGACAACTACTGATTTTCAGGGGTCCTCAAACTTTTTAAACAGAGGGTCAGTTCACTGTCCCTCAGACCTTTGGAGGACCATTGGAGAGTGTGGCCCCGGTCGGGTGCTAAGCAGGACAAGCAGCAGTGGCAAAAACACCTGGCGGGCCGGATAAATGTTCTTGGCGGACTGCATGTGGCCCACGGGCCATAGTTTGAAGATGTCTGATATAAGCAAATAGAAATTCACTTTTTAAAACAATTTTGTTTAAAAGCTTGGTTCATTTAGTGGTTAAAATCAAAGTAAGAAGGGTGCCTTAAGGTATACACAGTTGGATTTAATCTTTAGATTACACTAATTGCAAGTGATTAAGTAATGATAACATTTTATATGTCTCTACCACAAAAATCATAAAGTTATAAATATAGAAGTTTGAGGCAAAGATTCATTCTCAGTATTATATTCTCAAATATAACATTACAGGAAAATTGTCTGTTTTAATCTTTAGATTTAGAAGGATAAACTCCAAAATGAAATCTTGCTTAGCAGATAAATTTGCTTTAGCATATAATCTTATTTCTTCCAATCAGCTGTGTAACTTCCTCCTAATCACTGTTAGGAAGAACACAAACTAAGCAAATGCTAAACCCAGCTTTATATATATATGAAAATGTATTGTTTTTGGATTACTGTTTGGTATTACCTATCCTGCTACACATAGTAGCAAGAATAACTGAAATTTCCCTATAAAACCAAAATATATACCATTAAAAGTTACAGTCAGAAACATACAATGCCAGACATGAAGGACAATTCAGAGGTCATCTAGTCCAGGGATGGAAAATTGGCTGTACCTGCTGTACCAATCATGAATTGTTAATTAAAACTAGTGTTGGGAAACACATAATTTTGAGAAAGATTCTAAGACTCAACAATAAAAAGTACCAAAATCATTTTGTGAGGTTTGTCATAGGAAGATAGGAAGAGACTGGGAGAATAGTGGCCTGCAAGTTATCAATGTGCATTCCTTTGATAGTGCCTAACCTTTTATTGCTTATAGTTGTCAAGAAATCACACACACCCAATTTAACAAAAAAATTAGAAGATTCAGATCTCTAATGCATGGCCCAGTGTCCTTTTCACTGCAACAAGCAAACAATGGAGATTCTTTTATCCCTTAAAATTCTGCATGACAAAGAAAAGATTGAGCTAGAGTTCACCATAGGGGAATCCTCAGTTGGAGATTCTTTAATGTCAGCTTTGGTGAAAAGAGGTAGTCCCACTAAAGAGATAAGGAAGAACTTACACAACTAAAATGGATTGGAACCGATTGACCCAAAACACAACCCCAGCTGTGTACATATAAAAATGGGCCTACACAGTAACTTATCATTTCCCCTTCAAGAGTGTATCTGATGCTCATTTTGCCCTATTTTACCCTGGTTGAACCATATAAGATACAAATTGATTGCTCTGGGTCTCAACCTTCCATAAGTCCCAAGATAAAGGTTAGTATTAAAGAGTTGACTGTCACTCATGACAGTTACAGAGAGATTTGAGGAAATGAAGGGATATACCAAGAACAGTAGGAAAGCTAAGTGTGACAGTCTACCTTTTGCAAGAATTCCATATTTTAACTGTTAAAAGATTGCATCAGTGAGTTTTAGTTTCATAGAATGCATACATCAGTTTATTAGATACAGATGAGAACTGAATTTGGGAAGATTGAAGTGTGTGTATTTATGCACCAATTTTTATTAAAAGAATCTAAGACAAGGACTACTCAATGGCATATTTCTTGGGCATTCTTATTTCAAGCTCTGTGACTTATTTATACTATGTATACATGTACACACAGACATCCATACATATAAACCATATTGAACAGCTTGCTGGTTTTGTGACTCCAGATGTTTGAGATTTTAACACTAGCAAAGTTGTTTAAAGACTGTGCTAATTGCCAAAAGCACACCTGTTTTTTTTTTTTTTTTTTTTTTTTTTCCTTTTTTTTCCCTAATAGTAATTGCAATCAGCAACACTTTTACCCTTTTTGGTCAATCGGCAGTTATGAAATTGAAGTTGGCTGTATCAATGTGTAAGTGTAAGTTAAATGATGTTCATATACATTAACTTTTTTCATTTCTAAGCTAAAGAGTTTGAGTGTTCTTTTTCTTATTAAGTAAAATAAAATTAAAACTAAATTCTATAAAGGGTTTAGAAATTGATTACTTGTTACTATATATACAATGAGAACTCAGTGAAATATTTTTGCATAGCACCATGCTTATTGAACACATACATTCTTTGTGATATTTTTATGACTTATTTATATTGACCAATCTGTCCTGATATAACTTCTTCCAAGGATTTTAAATCATATCAGAATTTTCGTATATTACATTAATATACTGCTATGGTTTGAATGTATCCCTCAAAGTTTGTGTGTTGGAAACTTGATCTCCAAAGTGATAGTGTTGGGAGGTGGGACCAACAGGAGGTGCTGGGGTCATGGGAGCACTGCTCTCATCAGTGCATTAATGCTGTTATAATGCTGGGTATGGGCTCCTTATGAAAGGACAAGTTTGGACCTTCTTGCCCCTCTCTTGCTCTGTCTTTGCTCTTCCACCATTGGATGACCAACAAGAAGGCCCTCCCCAGATGCTGGCATCTTTATCTTGATTTTCCAGCCTACAGAACTGTGAGAAAATAAATTTATATTCATTAAAAATTACCCTGTCTTAGATACTCTAACAGCACAGAAGGGACTAAGACATACACCTAGTCATCAGCACACATGTATCAACCTTCCGATTGGAGAATGTATATGGCAGGTTCTAGCCTCAGAGAGTTCACAGGCTATACACCACAGTGTTTCCAAAATCTACTCTGAGTCACAAGCAATGGAGATTTTTAAAAAATACAAATAACTAAGTCCATTCCTAAAGGTTCTACTTTATTCAGTCCAGGATGGTAGTCACGTATTGTCATTATGAAATGTTACCTGAGTAGTTATGATGTGTAACCTTTCCTGGAAAACATTAGTCTAGTGTATTGTAACTGCAGTGCTCTTTTATTTGATTGTTACAGAACACGTAATATTTGTTGATTTTTCTTTACTTTTTTTCAATAATTTTCAATGATATCCCATAATAACTCTAATGGGAATTGGAAGTTCCCGATTTTTCTAATTCTCTTAGTTTGTAGACAGGAGTGAAATGTAGGAAAATAAGATGTATAAAATTACTAAAAATTATAGCACCCCAAAAAGTGATTCTTGTCTTCCTTTTACTTCTAATAATAAACTAAAAAGAGTTTATTCTTTCTAGTTTTTGTAATTCAGATGCAATATATGATATTTCTACAATTCTAAAGTGCAGGTAGTTTATTTTATCATCCAAAATCAAGACATATTTTTTGATCAATAAATTTAATATAATGGATTATTTAAAAATTCATCAATAAATTATGAATTTTACATCATTGAGTTCCTATAAGTGAGCATATATGGTAAGCTTCCATGGCAAATAAATGGATTTCTACTCTTTATACAACAGTT